AAGTACCGCCCTCCAGGTCTTAAAGGCGTATGCCTCCAATACTGGCTGTATCCCTGAACACACAGAAATCTACCTAGCTCTTCTAACCACCACGCTCTCACTATGGCTCTAATAGCTCTGACCCCAGGGCAACTTTATTTATTAACATAAAATTAAAATAACATTTCAGTACAATTAAAATATCACCACACAATAGACATTCATCAAATAAACAAATACAACTCAATCTCTTGCAACACCATCAAAAACTGCCATGCCATTATAGGCCCTACTTGATATGATTCATCTCAGATTTTAAGTAAGCAGGGAGGGGAGGTGGGTCAGGGGGATGGGAGAGTGGAAGGAGGGGAGTCTGCAGTCAGGATGTATTGAATGAGAGAAGAATAAATAAAAACATAGAAAATAAACAAGCAAGAAGAGTTAGCATTTGAACTATCCAAGTTATATGCATACATATGCAATCCTTAAATGCAGTTCTCTGGCCTAAAGACCTAAGGACAATATTATAAATGGTTGTTCTATCTAATAAGTTTAGTGAAAATATGTTTTAAAAATTAAATCCTGGCTGGGTGGTGGTGGCTCACACCTTTACCAGTATTTGGGAAGAAGAGGCAGGTGGATCTCCGAGTTTAAGACTAACCTGGTCTATAAAACTACAAAGCGAGTTCCAGGGCAGCCAGGGCTACACAGAGAAACCCTATAATTGAATATATTCAATATAATGGAATTTAAAGAAAATTTGAAGCTGGGCATGGTGGCTTTAATCCCAGTACTAGGGAGGCAGAGGCAGGTGGAACTCTTTGAATTTGAGGCCAGCCTGGTCTACAGAGTGAATTCCAGGGCTACACAGAGAGACCCTGTCTTGAAAAACCAAAAAGAAAAGAAACTTTGAGGTTTGAGGTAATCCCTAAGACAACTGTATATTTACATTGACAAAAGGGCTGTTCCTGGGCTAGGGATACAGTTCATCATGCACAATAGCATGTCCCCAGCACCACTAACAATTTAAAAATGGCTCTTTTTCTTTTTTTCATTTTTCTTTATTAAGAAATTTTCTACTCACTCTACATACCACCCACAGATCCCCCCTCCTCCCTCCTCCCACCCCCAGCCCTCCCTCTTAAGCCACCCCACATCCCCCAAATCAAGATCTCCCATGGGGAGTCAGCAGAGCCAGGCACAATGAGCCTAGGCGGGTCCAAGCCCCTCCCCACTGCACCAAGGCTGTGCAAGACATCACACCACAGGCACCAGGCTCCCCAAAGCCTGCCCATGCACCAGGGACGGATCCCGATCCCCCTGCCTGGGTGCCCCCCAAACAGTTCGAGCTAAACAACCGAAATGACTTTTTCAAACACAGCAATATTGTGATTGCTAAAATAAGAAATCAAGAAATAGAAATAAAGTATCTGTACAGGAAATTTAAAACACAGGTTAAGACTGGCCATAAATGACTCAAGAAAACCTTTACAATTTTGGAACTTCAAAGATTCATTTATCTTTATTTTATGTGTATGTGTGTGTGTGTCCCCACACTTATGCATGTACCACACATGTGCCCGTGTACCAGAAGAGTGTACTGGATCCTCTAGGACTGGAGTTGCCCCATGGGTGCTGGGAACCGAACCCTGGTCCTCTCAAATGCAGGATGCTCTTAACTGCTGAGCAAACTTTCATGCGCCAGCTTTATAACTTTGAAGTTATAATAGGGATTTGAGGAAGGAAAAATGGGAGTTAACATTTAATGTGTGCAACTCCAGCTTTGCAAAGAAATAGAATTTGGAGACTGGTTAAACAATCATGTGCATGAGTGTAAAACTACTGAACTGTATACTCAGGGAGGATTAAGATGAGGGGCCCGGAGAGAGGGGCCTCAGCAGTTAAGAACACTTGCTGCTCTTCCATAGGACCCGAGTTTGGTTCCCAGCACCTACATGGTGGCTCACAACTGCCTATTAACTCCAGTTCCAGGGGATCTGACTCCCTCTTCTGGCCTCCCTGGGCACCTGCACACAAGTGACATACATTCACACAGACACATAAAAAAATAAATCTTTTAAAAAATTATTAAGATGATCAGTTGTGTTCATATTTTACCATGTTTTTAAAAGTCAAAGGATTCTTATGACCATACAATAGGAGAACATTACCTGGTCTATATATTGTGTATGTTTGAAATGCCAGGCTGAGATCAGCATCCTTCAGCATTGACAACAAGGTCTCAGGGGGCTCTCTGAGCCACTGCTTACGGGCATGATTTTCACTGTACTTTATTACAGAACCACCTAATTGTAAAGAGAGACATTAGTACCAAGTTAAAAAAAAAAGAATTTCCAGCATCTATCTTTCAGATCATATTTTAAGCAAAGTTATAATTATATTTGACCCTCAGTGAAAATCTAGTTCACTCACCTACATGAGGAGCACCAAACGTCCATTGCAGAGTGTTATAAACTAAAACCCTAACATGGTGAATTCTACTAAAAAGTGTTCAGTCTAACTATGGTCTTCCCTGTATATCCATGGGCTCCAAGTTTTTGGACCTAAGATATAGATTTTTTTTTTTTAAGTGAAGTCTGGAGCTCGAGAGATGGCTCAGTCGTTAAGAACACGTGTTGCTCAATTGTGAGGACCAGAGTTCAGATCCTGGCACCCACACTGGAAAGCTCACAAATGCCTGTAACTCCAGCTCCAGGGGATCTGACACCCTCTTCTCGATTCATATACATGTGCACATACAGCGTCTCTCTCTCTCTCTCTCTCTCTCTCTCTCTCTCTCTCTCTCTCTCTCTCTCTCTCCTCTCTCTCTCTCTCTCTGTGTGTGTGTGTGTCTGTCTGTCTGTCTGTCTGTCTCTGTCTCTCTCTCACACACACACAAAATTAAAATTAAAAAATAAAAATTAAGTCTGTATTGAACATATTCCCATATGCACATAAACAGTGCAGTGTGACAACTATTTACACAGTATTTATGTTGTCTTATGTACAAGTGGTCTAGAGAGTAAAGTATATGGGAGGATACGGGTGTTACATGCATTTTCCATGAGGCACCTGAGCATGCATGAACTTTGGTATCTGAACCCAGACCCCAAGGAACAGTGATGGTGCTGACCTCTGTCCTCCTCGGCCGTGAAACTGGAGGTAAGGATGGGTGCTTCTTCCAATGCTGCTAGAGCTGAACTGGGAGCATGTCTCTCCCACTGCTGCCTGTGAAGGCTTGCTGGAGTGGTCCTCCTCTGCTGCTCTGATGGACTACCTGATTCTTAAATGTGGAAAAGGAGGGTCAACAGTATCATTCTGTCTATTCATCCACATCTAAACATGTACTCTAACAAGGAAGAAGTATTTCTGGTCTCTTTCAAACGCAGATGTAGCAAGAGTCTTGTCCAGTCTTAGGAACAAAGGAAATATCAACAAACGTCTTGAAATGAGATCATGCAAAATGATAGCTCAGTTCAGAATGAACCGTCAAAGTGGCTGTGTTAAAATATGTGTATTGTTAACCTTCTGCATGATGTACAGAAATGAAACTCCCAAGGACTCAGGCACACGGGGTCAGCTACACTTCTAATGACTCACCAGCATACCTTCTCTTCCCTCCCTACTTCCCTTTTATTGTTTTGTGGGCTGAGGTTTTCACCCAGAGACTCAGTATGAGAGCATGAACTCTATCACCAAACCACACCCCCGGCCCTTAGTCTCTCTCTTTTTTAAAAAACTGTATGTTATTAGGTATTTTACCTGTATATATGTCTGTGTACCATGTGAGTGTGTGGTGCCCACAGAGGTCAGCAGAAGACATCAGATTCTCTGGAACTGGAGTTACAGACACTTGTGAGCTGCTGTGTGGGTACTGGGAATTGAACCCAGGTCCTCTAGAAGCACAGCCAGGGCTCTTAACCATGAAGCCATCTCTCCAGGCCTTAATGTCTCTTTTTTTTTTTTTTTTTTTTTTGCAAATAACCAAAATATTTCTCTAATATAAAGTCCTAGAAGAGCAATAAATACCCACTTGCCTACTTGCTCATGATACCCAAGACCAAGTAAGGTGAACATTGGTGTTCCCTCACAGTCCCTGCATCAGTAATGACCATAATTTGAGTCACTCACCCGGATTTCCTCCTGCTACTCTCCTCGGTGAACTTCCAACTGAGTTTGCATGAGTGCTTTCCAATTCAGCACGGCTACACTTTCTATCGTGCGCTTCCTCTCGCTTTATAAAAGATTTTAAAACAGTGATTAAGTAACGTCTGTATTTCTACAGAAATGCAAACAAGTATGTAATCAGCTATTTTAATTAAAAGTAAAAAGCAATGCACTAAAAACATGAAGTCATAAAAACCCAAATACAAATGTATTAATATATATATATCATATACTCGTGCATATGAATAACAGTTTGCTCATATACATGTATATAAATAGCCATGCATGTCAGTAGCTATTACAGGATGGATATATATATATATATATATATATATATATATGTTTATATGTATATACACATATATAAACAGCAGAGGTATTTATCTACTTTTTTATTGAAAATAACAATATATTCTGATCATGGCTTCCATTCCTCCACCTCGTCCTTACACACTTAACTTCATGTTCTCCCCACCCCTCTCTCTCCATCCATCCATCTCTGCTACTCTGGTAGCTACATTTTTTTTAAAAAAGTAGTCAAACATTAATGTGTATGAGTGTAAATACTATTGAACTGTATACTCAAAAATTATTAAGATGGGGGGCCTGGAGAGAGAGAGGAGAGAGATGGCCCAGCAGTTAAGAGCACTTGCTGCTGAGAGAATTAACTCCAGTAAATTGTCCTCTGGCCACCATACCACAGCATGTGACCCTACCTCCAATAATTAAATAAATGTAATAAAATTTTTTAAACGGGTTGTTCACCTGGGTCTTTGAGTATTTATTCCAAAATCTCCCACCCCAGTCATATAAAACTCTATTATAGAAATGTGGTTAAGTCAGTACTTTTCCAAACTGTCTGAACCCTTAACTTCATGCAGCACAGTAATGCCATGAGTGTTCTTCACTGAACAAGTACATATTCAGGGAAGGGATACAAACACAGCACCAAGCTGGTCCCAGGCACGGGTTCTCAGTTCCTGGTTGAATGAATAGACGGGCAGCAGGCCTTGCGGACACACTAACCTTTCTTGTTCCTATGCAGTGGTTCCCAAAATTCTTTTTGACACATCAAGGGGACACAAAAACACCTCTTGTCACGTCACAGTGATGACTCAGCACACCAGTGATCTCAAAACCCACCCGCAACCCATCAGATTCGTGAAGCAGTTGGAGGAAGTGGATGTTAAAAGCCCTCGGGGCATGCCCAGTGTCCTACTAACTTGACACAGTCTACAGTCAGCTGAGGAAGGCGGACTTCCTCAGATGACTGGGGGACTGCCCGGATGAGAGTGGCCTGTGGACGTGTCTGTGGGGGACCGTCCTGATTGTCAACTGATGTAGGAGGTCCAGCCCACTCTGGTGGCACCTTTCTCTCAGCAGGTGGGTCTGGGCTGTATAAGAAAGCTCCTAAGCGTATACCTAGGAGAGAGCCAGCAAGCAGTGTCCTCTGTGGTCTCTGCTTTAGCTCCTGTTAAGTTCCTACTCCGCTCCTTTAGCGACGGCCTGGCCCTCTAAGTTGCTTTTGCTCAGAGTGTTTTATCACAGCAACAGAAAGGAAAGTGAGAACAGCAGCCTCTACCCCACTGAAAATCGAAGTTCTCTGGTTCCACAGCAGCCTCAAACTCTGAGGTCACTTCGCCCTGCCCAGGGGTGGCCTATAGGATTCTCTTGCCGCCTCAATCCTGGGTTATCTTATTTGCTTTCTGGCCTCTTCTTCACTATGTTCACTAACTGTACCCTTTTCATTTTGGGGGGACTTGCTGAACAGTCCACGCACGGTGGTGACAGAGTTGTGTTCTGTACAATGCTTCAGCCAGTGACCCCCGAAGGTATGTCCCTTAGTGACACTGGCGCCCTCTAGGATGTTTGCACACTGATGAAATCACCGAAGAATGCTTTCGCAGAACAGGCCCCCCGGAGTTCAGCGATACACAGCATTATTATGACATAATTTCCCAAGGGCAGAGGCAGACGTCCTCTGCAAGGGGAACACAGACTCTTCAGAGGATGTGAGTTTCTGAATTCTTACTGTGATGCTGACTAGATGGCCACCTGAATAAAATAACCAAAATTCACTAACTATATGCTAAAAATGGCTACATTTTATCATATGTAAAATATGCTTCAATAAGCCAGGTGGTGGTGGCACACATCTTTAATCCCAGCACTCAGGGAGGCAGAGGCAGGCAGATCTCTGAGTTTGAGGCCAGTCTGGTCTACAGAGTGGGTTCCAGGACAGTCAGGGCCACACAGAGAAACCTTTTGGCCACACAGAGAAACCTTTTCTAAAAAAAAAAAAAAGGCTTCAATAAGTCTAAACAATATCATGATGAAATTAATTTTTAAAGGTACCACAGCATCAGGGTATAATTTACTTGCACCAACATAATAGTGAGACATTATTTATAATCTAAGGTACATTAGAAATTTTACAGGTTTAATTATTCATAAGTTCCATGATAACAATAATCTTTTGGGGGGTGAGGAACAGTCTGGTTATGATACACACACCGGTGTTGGAAACTCCTGTGACCAACCACCTATTTTGCTGGCATACATTTTAATACTGTAAACAAAAACACTCTACAGCAACAATGAGCAGCATGACTGAATGCACGCAAAAACTTCCTTCAGAGCTAGGCGGCAGGGGCACACGCCTTTAATCCCAGCACTTGGGAGGGAGAGCCAGGCAGATCTTTGTGAGTTCAAGGCCAACCTGTTCTACAGAGCAAGTGCCAGGACAGGCACCAAAACTACACAGAGAAACCCTGTCTGGGGTGGGGGGACATTCCATAAGACCCCTTCTCACACCAGTGCCAAGCACAGATGACAAGTGTAGTTTAATTCTTTGTTATCTAGACTCCTGGCTAGTCAGTATGTAAACAGTACACGATGATAGTAGGTTATCAAACAAAAAGCTGAAGAATTTTGCTTTCCCCTTTACCCCTATAACACCTCCTAAAAGTGTTACCAGGGGGGGAAAAGTGAGAGCAATTCCTCCATTTATTTCACTGTTTTGTTTGGCTGACACAGGGTTTCACTATGTAGACCAGGCTGATCGGAGATCCACCTGCCTCTACCCCCAGAGTGCTGGTATTAATGGCGTGCAGCACCACACTTGGCTGTAAAGAATGTTTACATGAAATGACAATGGAGAGATGTGGTGGTGTGTGCCTAGAATTCCAGCACTTGGCAGGGAAAGGGAAAGGACCGGGAATTTCAAGTTGTCCTTGGCTACATAGACTTGGAAGCCAGTCTGGGCTACATGAGACCTTGTCTCAAAGAAATAAAAACAAAGAAACAAAAAAATTAAAGCAGCACAAAGATAATCATGAACAAATACAAACACTTGAGGAATGCCAACTGTAAACCATAATTTTTTTTTTTAAAGAAAATTTAATCTTAGCTATGGCTTCTGTACTTATGAGAGGAAGTCAATGCATAGTGAATTATGGTTTAGTCCCCAGTGAGTCCCCTACTGAATTAGTCAAGGGCACAGCCTCCTCCTCCCTGGCCGGCTGGCCGGCTGGCCAGCTGTATGTACTAACAGGAGTTTAAAGAGCTGAAAGTTCATCCCAGACAGAACTGTCTGGGTCTTAAATCCCAACAGTTGTTGGTTCTGTGGTCTGTGTTGGTAATGCTCTCCTGTTGTTGCAGAAATAACATGCCTTCCCGTGAGGAATCACTCCACACACTTAGAAAGTAACAAAGGAAAGGCCCTTTAATAGTGCCTGCCCAGTTTTTGGCTAACACCCAAAGAAGAGCTGGCCTTGAAGAGATTTCAATAGATTCTGTGCACTTTAGGCGTGTGCATTTTACACATGCTGTCAGCTCCAGGTTACACTCTGAACAATTTAAACAGACACAGGAGATTTCCTGCCTGGTCACTCGGGCAGATGAGAGATTGACACAGCAAAGATATTGCCAGAATTATTACTTAAGTACATCAGTGTTGTTCTTTTTATGATAGTTGTTACCCAGGGACATCTTGCCTACCTGGCAAAATTATGCTTTTCTCAAAAAGAGAACTGGGGACTTCAGGCAGACCAGGACTTACCATTGGCTGTGACCCTAAGCTGCCCCCCTCCCGCGAGCTGTGCTTAGAGGCTTGTTCTTTAGGGATGGAGCCTAATGGTTGGCCTGTGAATTTCACAGGCCTAGTAAATTCACTCTGACAGGCCGACTTAGCTACTACTTATCTTCGGGGTGTTTGGAGGACAGTGCTCCCTTACCTAATTCTACTTCATGTGATTTAATGTCTCCTAAGCAAATCCATTAGCAAATCCTTTATAACATCAATTTTATTACTATGAGTTTCTTCAACATCACTATAAACTAGTCCCCGTTCCCTCTGGGCTGGTTTCTGGCACATTCCATGGAAGGAGCGTTTAAGAGAGTCTGGGTTTTGCTGGAGGGAAAGATTCAACATGAGCACTTGTCTCTTTGGAGTAATGTGGTGGAATATTGTTTTAAGGTATGCTGCTTTTATTTATGTTGCAATTGTTTAACTCTGTGAAGCTGTGTTACTGTGCCTGTCTAAAACACCAGAATGGCCAATAGCGAGGGAGGAGAAAGGATGGGTGGGGCTGGCAGGCAGAGAGAACATATAGTAGGAGAAATCTGGGAGGAAGGAGCCAGAGATGGAGAAGTGAAGAGAAGAAGTAGCCAGAGAAGAAAGAAGACTCCAGGGGCCAGCCACCCAGCTACACAGCAAGCCACAGAGTAAGAGTAAGGTTTACAGAAGTAGGAGAATGGGAAAAGCCAGGAGTAAAAGGTAGATGGGATAATTTAAGTTAAGGAAAGCTGGCAATAAATATGCCACGCTAAAGCTGGGCATTTATAATTAATAAACAAGCCTCTGTGTGTGATTTATTTGGGAGCTGAGTGGAGGGCCCCTCAAAAGAGGGGGGAAAAAAACCCAGTAACGACAGAGCAATTCCATTCCCTTCTACCTGGTTACACAAACCCTATCTGTGCTCCTGACACCGTGTCTTCCATTTTTTTGACCCTCCTGCCTGGCTATCTCTCTAACCATTTCAATTAAAAGGTGAGATGCTGGGGATGTCGCTCAGAGGCTGAACAAAGCCCTCGCTATTCGATTTCAGTGCAACAGGAGAAAGCAAGCTACTTGGAGCATCACAACAGAAAAGCATCAGGCCACAGGTCACAGCTGATTTGCCACGGCGGGTGTTGTGGGAAGGAGACAAGCTGTCGCCGTTCATGGCATCACCAGTGGAACAGAGGGGTCATCGCTGCCCAGGGCTAGGAATGACCAACAGGACCTTGAATACCAGCCCAGAAAATGTCAACTTGATTCACAGGATAACTTAAGAGGGACTACAAACGTTTGAACAGAAAAACATCAAAGTCTGAACACTGAGTGACCCACGCATTCCTTAGCTGTAAAAAGGAATGAAATGCTGGTACATGCTGCAACATGGATGAACCCTGAAAACCGAACGGAGTAAGAGAAGTCAAGTGCAAATGGGCAAACCCTGCATGAGGGGTGGCTAGCTTTATGTCAACTTAACACGAGCCAGAGTTATCAGGGAGTAGAGGGAGCCTCAGTTGAGAGAATGCCACCATAAGATCCAGCTGTAGAGCATCTTCTGAATTAGTGATTGATGGGGGAGGGCCCAGCCCATTGTGGGTGGTGCCATCCCTTAGGCTGACATCCTGGAATGAATGATAAAGGCAAAAAGGAGAAAGCAGGTCTGGTTCTCTGTTTCCAGGACCTCACATTCCTGCTGCCATGTTCCCTGCTGGGACGGACAGCACCTCAAGTGAGCCACAATACGTGTCCCATGCCGTGGTTCGCGCCTCCTATCCCCCCTTCCCCCCCCCCCCCCACCCCACTTCCTTTAGTTGCTTTAGTCAAGTACTTTGTCACAGCAAGGAGAAAAGCATACACACATATAACACACACACACACACACATACACACACACACACACACACACACACACACACACACACACACACACACACTTACCATGATAAAAAAGCAAAACAAAAGCCAGGCTCAAACAAAACTTTCACGTCCGGAGGCAGGACTGAGTTCTGTCATATCTAGATTGATACCACTGCCATCGACAATTAAAAATGGGAACAAAGGATAAATGAAGGTCTGCAGGGCTCAGCAGGTGGTACAGGGCAACAGCTCCTTCCTGCATCAAAAGGTGAAGGACAACTTCGCTGGAGGGGCGCGGCCACATCCCGAAACCTCACTGCATGTCAGAACTCCTGATGCTCACCGCATGCATGCCTCACAATTCCATTTTAAAGCACTTACCACGGCGTTTGCTTCATCTCCCGGAGCTATCCTGACTCCGCTGGGATCTGCTTAGAGAGAAGGTAGGAGAGAGCACAGGAAGGCTCGTCTTACTAAACTCTAGCATAGATTCTCCCCCTTCCCCCTCGTGTTTTGTGTGTTGAGAAAGGCCCCCTGCTATATAGCCCAGGCGGTCCTTACACTCTGATCGTCCTTCCTCAGCCTCTCCAACACTGACATTATTGGTGGACAAATGAGGATTTTAAAGATACTGGACCACAGCATTAACCTGAAAGAGTATCAAGCTTTCAACACCTGGTGATATTCTCTAGATATTAAAAGAAGCAACTTAATGCTGTTTCAGTCATAATGTTCAGATAACATGAAAGTCATTTATGCCAATCCATTTAAGCACCTGAGAAGCTAGAGGAGTCTTTTTTTTTTTTTGTTTTGTTTTGTTTTTGTTTTTTGTTTTTTGTTTTTCAAGACAGGGTTTCTCTGTGTAGCTTTGCGCCTTTCCTGGAACTCACTCTGTAGCCCAGGCTGGCCTTGAACTCACAGAGATCTGCCTGGCTCTGCCTCCCGAGTGCTGGGATTAAAGGCGTGCGCCACCACCACCCAGCACTAGAGGAGTCTTTATTCTCCACATTTTACTGACTTTTGTTTTTGCTTTTAAAGCAGGGTTCCACTGTATAGCCCTCATTAGCGTAGATCAGGCTGGCCTGAGACTTACAGTGATCCCCCTGCCTCACCTCCAAAGTGCTAGGATTAAAGGCACATGCTACCATGCCCTGCTTCATTCGACATCTTAAAAATGGCTATTGAACACCTGTCAGGACAGGCCATGAAAACACGAGAGGAAGCACATCACACACAGTCCCTGTCCTTGTGCCTGGCTTCACTGTTCTGATCTCCCTATCTGGAGACTAAATGGTCCCACTCTGGCAGCATGTCACTGACTCCTTTATTCTTCCTGTGACTATCAGTGAAGATATTCTAAAGAGGCATTTATGTTCCTCTCTTTGGCTGTCAGACTATTGGAACAATAATCCTCGGGGAACTGGCATTTCCCCAGGAGTCTCATGCTGGGAAAGGGGAAAGGTTGAAGCCTGGGTGAGACAGAGGGGGAGCTTGTCTCCTGGAAAGGGATTCCACGTGCTTCTGACAACTGAGAGACTAAACGAAGACAATGATGGGTCAACCATGGGGGACCACCTTGGCCAGGACAATTTAGTCATGCATATCCCTCGCCTGCCATAAACTTGAACCTCACGTCAGGACCCTGGGAGACAGGCAAGGGGTGTGTGTGCATGAAGGGATCAGAAGGCCATACAAGCCACTTTACCTTGAGACAACATGGGACTGAGACGGATACCTGGCAGAGACCAAGATGGCTAATGCTGGACATCCAGGGGCTATGAGTCAGCGATAAATGCCTGATCCAGGGAACCCCAAAGTGACAGTGATGTCATCTGTCCTATAATTACACCTGGCAGAATGCCACTTTTGTGCGAGTCTGTATAAATATGGCCTCGATGTCGGAGGCGAGTGCCTTTGTCAGCCTGTGCGTGCTGGTCTGCACACACACATCTGTCTGCCTGGGTGCGTCCTGTGGGTGCCGGGGTGCCTGCCAGCGCCTGACGTGTGTGTGGCCTGTGTACAAGTGAGTAAGTCTGTCCTGCCTACACCTTCACTCTCTTTAAGGCCCTGGCCCTGGGGGACACTCCTCTTTTCCTGGCATTGGAGCAGGGATCTCACAGTGGATGTCACCAGCTCTCTTGGCTCCTCTTCCCAGTGTGGACACTCTGAGTAACCCTCCACTCTCTTCCCACTGTTGTCTTTAATTGGCTTATTGAGGATGGGCAGCTGAGCCTCGCTTGTTAGGGGGCTGCCTGGGAGATGCTCTGATGCTAACTCCTGTAATACTCTCTATTTTGGGAATTGTAAAGCTACATTTGAAAAATATATTGACACTCCTCTTAGCGCTTTCTTGCCCAGCATTTCCTCCTATCCTGGGAGGTGAACAAAAGCTACAAGATAGTACCCGGGGTAAAATTATCGTCAAAGCAAACTTGGAAAGCCACGTGAGTGGCTGCCTCTTGAGTGACAAAGAAGATGCTGTCTGTGAACCGAGCCTGCATCCGTGAACTGAGCCTGCATCCGTGATAGTGGGACACACATGTTCTCAGTTTTGTCCACAGTTCCTGGCTCATAACTCCTTCACCCTTCAACCTAACCCAGAAAAATAAACAAACTGCTTTCACAATGTTTCTCTGGTAGTCAATGAGGACATCACCGTGACAGAGAACTCCACATAGGGTTGGTTATCACAGTGCCCCAGCTGAGAGTGAGCTACACTTAACTCTTCTCTTTTTCTTCTCACACCTATTATCTCTGTTGGACTTCTTCAAAAGGAAGTCATTAATGAAGGAATAAAAAAAAAATGCTACATGATGCACCTGAGACAGTCGGTGAACCAATACTGATGGACCACTGTCACTCAAAGCCACAGTTCTTGGTAGAAAAGGCTCTGCCTTTGAAAAGTTAGTTTGCACAAGGCCCATCAGAAACTTGGGGATACGACTGGCTATAATATAAGTGTTGTATTTTCATGGTTAGATCCCTATAACCTAACCCATAATAAGCCAAAGTGGGTAAGATGCTAAATCACCAAACAGACATTCTCTCATCACTGAACTTCCACACTAGGTTCTTCTTAATCCCTGAAAATTAAAAAATGTTGTACACATTGAGGCGGGAAAAACTTGCAGTAATAAAATTGATGCTGTGAAGGATTTACTTTCTTATGAAATATTACATTCCACAAAGTAGAATTTAGCTAAGGAGCGCACAGCCTCTGATATCACTGGAAGGTAAGGATCATACTAAGCAGTTCTGTTAGCGACTGCAGGAAAGAAAATTCCATGCCACAGCTGAAGTTTAGGGGTGTGAGAAAGTTTCTGCTACTCTTTCACTAGGCTTGACCTCCAATTAGGCTCCATTCCATAACAAAAGGAGACAACCCAGACTTAGAACCCGCCCTTAGGCTTACCCTCATATCAAAGAACATGCCTCTAACAGGCGGCACAGGGTGACAACCAGAATTCAGTCTGCCATTAAGTCCCCAATGCTCTTACCAGGAAAAGTATCATTCTGCCAGGTGGGCAAGATGTCCCTGGGTGGCAACTATTCATAAAGAACAACACTGGTGTATTCAAAGGATTCTGGCAATTATCTCTGCTGTGTCAATCTCTCATCTGCCCAAGTGGCCAGACTTGTAGTTTGACTCTGTTTAAACTGTTCCGAGTGTGACCTGGGGCTGGGACCCGAAAGGGCTAAGGATGACTGCTTATGTGGAGTGGGTAGATGGAAGGTCCACAGACTCTGGTAACATTTTCTGTTCGATACTGGTTCCTTTTTATGCATTACCAGAACCAGCCATGCACTGTTATTAAAGAACTTCTTTTTCCTTTATTAATCTCTGAGTGTGTGGAGTGATTCCTCACCGGGAAAGTGTATTTATTCTACGACAGTATAAGATCTGAAGAAAATTATGTCTGAAGTAGCAAAAAATTATTTGAAGGCTATTTCTGGTAACTAATAACTTGAAAATTACATTTTCTTTCTTTTTTTTTTTTTTCTTTTTGGTTTTTCAAGACAGGGTTTCTCTGTGTTACAGCTCTGACTTGCTTGGAACTCACTCTGTAGATCAGGCTGGCCTTGAACTCACAGAGATTCCCCCTGTCTCTGCCTCCCAAACTCACAGAGATTCCCTTGTCTCTGCCTGCCAAACTCAGATCTGCCGGTCTTTGTCTCCTGAGTGCTGAGATTAAAGGCATGTGCCACCATTGCCTAGCAAAAATTATGTTTTTATTTTATGATACTTTAAAAAACATATTTCAAAATTAAGCTTCCCAAAATTCTTACCCCTTTTTTTCAGTTTCTTGGGCTCAGATATTTTGGTTTCATCCAGTATCTGCTCTCCATATTCTCTGATGATCTGAAATTTAAAGACGTGGAAAACATTTTCTATACCCCAAGCAGGCCTTGAACTTATGATCCTACTGTCTTAGCCCACACAGCAGGGATAACTCGCCGGCATACCCAGCCCCAGGTAAAGAAAGACACTTTCCTTTAGACGCACCATAATGTCATATAATTATCAATGCTCTTCCACACAAGAGCACTTAAAGTTGGAAAATAAAGATGCCACGTCAAAGCGAATGTCAGGAGAGGAGTATAATCCTGGCTACTTGGGAGGCCAAGGCAGGCCTGACAATTTGAAGCCGGTGTCGACCCAAAACCCACAGCCCAAGTTTGGTCCTTAGCAAGAAAAGTGGGGGGGTCTGGGAGCCAACTAACACTATAATTTAAATGTTATATAGTTTAAACTATATCTGTTTTATGTGTCTAGAAAAAGATCTGGAGGGACTAGGAAACTGAATGACCCACTAGATCTCAAAATGACTGCTAGACTCCGCCCACCGTCAGTGAAGCCCTAGGCTTAACCCCAGGACAGGGAAGTGTAACAGTTACTGGAGGAAGCGGCAGGAAGGGGAAGAGGGAAGAGAAGTTTAACCATTTTAAACACACTTCTGAATTAGGCGAGTTTTTACAAACATGTCTAATGAGTAAATTATGCTTCCGAGATAACCATTTTAGGGCCAGTGAGACAGCTCAACCGTTAAAAGTACCTGCTGCCAAGCCTGACAACCTGAGTTTGATCACTGGACCCATTACGGATGGAAGGAGGGTGCCAAGTTGCCCTCTGACATCTCCGTGCATGCCATGGCACACCCATGCCCACCTCCAGATGCAGTTAAAAAGAAACGATGCCGTGCTGGAGCCCACAGGAGACACTCTCGTCATACCTCGGGGGGTAAGCACTTCAGGACCAGTGGAGCCAAACTGCCTCTGGCAAGCAGGGTGGTAGCGGAGGGGCGCTGGGAAGGGTTCCTTTTCAACATCTGCTTGACGAGACACTGAAGCTTAGAGGAATAGGGGGCTGGCAATGGGTGGATGGGCCCTTGACATATTTTCAGGATAAGGTTTTTCCAACTATGTGCCTGGAACTGAAAAAGTAAAAGTGACACTTTAAAATCATATATATGTAAAGAAAAATACAGAACTAAGAAATAGCATCTACAGCCAAGCACCAGGCCGCGCTCCAGAAGTCCAGTCGACATGAGGGAAGAGGGATTATATGAGTGAGGGGGGTCAAGATCATGATGGGGAAATCTACAGAGACAACTGAACCAAGCTGTGGAGTCTGCATGGGACCGGGCTAGGTCCTCTGCATACAGGAGACAGCTGTGTAGCTTGGTCTGTTTGAGGGGCCCCTGGCAGTGAAATCAGGATCTATCCCTGGTGCATGAGCTGGCTTTCTTTTTTAAATTGTATTTATTTATTATGCATACAGTGTTCTGCCTGCATCCCTGCAGGCCGGAAGAGGGTACCAGATCTCATTACAGAGGGTTGTAAACCATCATGTGGGAATTGAACTCAGGACCTATGGGAGAACAGCTAGTGCTCTTAACCACTGAGCCATCTCTCCAGCCCCATGAGCTGGCTTTCTAGAGCCCATTACCTATGGTGGGACGCCTTGCTCAGTCTTGATGCATGGGGGGTGGGGGGAGGCTTGGTCCTGCCTCAACTGAAAGTACCAGGCTTTGCTGACTCCCCATGGGAAGCCTTACCCTTTTGGAGGGGGGGGATAGAGGGTGGGGGGGAAGGCTGGGAGGGAGCTGGAGAAGGGATGAGAGGGGGATCTGTGGTTGGTATGTAAAATGAATAAAAAAAATTTCTTAAATTAAATTTAAAAAAGAAATAAGAAATACCAGCTGAAGTAAATTCATATTTTCATAAGTTATGTTCATTTTGGAAAGGCACCTGCTGTTGGGTGCCTTCCGTCTATGGTTGTCCTTAAGGACACTTCACAGCCTCATGTGCTTTGGAGGAAGAGTAGACATGAACATCGCAGCCTTCCATGTGGAGACCTGGTGTCTATCAGTGTCTGCTCTGGGTACCGAATCAGTGCTGGCCTGGCATGCACAAACTCGGGGTGGCATCCGCGCAACAGTGGTGCCCAACTTGGGCCGCACTTCAGAATCACCTGGTTTACAAACACAAATGCAAGACCTCTTTGGAGATTCTGATTCAGTTATGTGGAGTGGGCTGAGGCCTCAGGATTTTCAAAGTTCTTTAAGCTATTTATTGGGTTTATTTTTTAAAGATTTTGTTGTTAGTGTGTGTGTGTGTGTGTGTGTGTGTGTGTGTGTGAGAGAGAGAGAGAGAGAGAGAGAGAGAGAGAGAGAGAGAGAGGCAATGTTCAGGTGCCCACAGGGACCAAAGGTGTTAAACCACCAAGAACTGGAGTTAGAGACAGTTGTGAGCCTCCACCTGGGTGCCGAGAACTGAACTTGAGTCCTCTGCAAAACCATCAAGTGCTCTTAACCACCGAACTGTCTCTCCACTCCTCCCCATGTTTATGTCACTGGCACTCTCAGACTATTTGGGGGGTCTTCTCTGTCAGGTTGGCCTTGTCCCCCGCGTGTACCACCAGGCCCAGCTTACCTCTGTAAGCTGTGAAGCTGGCACTAGGGGTCAGTTCTATTCAAGGGCGATGTCCTATCATGAACAACACATGCATGGGCTGAATGACTTTCACGTCAGGTGCTGAGGGGACATTTTCTGCCCCAACCGCCTCCTGAGCTGTGTGCTCTCAAGCACACAGGTTTGACACACAGATGAATGACTTTATTTCTATGAAAGTGAAGACCTAATCGGGGACAGCTTTGATTGTTGCTTTATGTGATCAGCTACCACCACCAAACAGGCAACTACCACCAAATGAGAAACTACCACCAAATGAATAACTACCACCAAACAGGCAACTACCACCAAATGAGAAACTACCACCAAATGAATAACTACCACCAAACAGGCAACTACCACCAAATGAGTAAGGTCATAAACTTGAGATGGAGGTGGGGAGAGACACAGGAGAACTAAGGCTAGGTATAGGGAGGGGAATAAATGTAAATACAGCACTCATATATAAGATTCTCAAAAAAAAATGTTTTAATTAAAAAAAAAAAGCTAAGTGCACTGGTTAGCCTTTGTCAAGCAGAAACAAGAGCCACCAGGTGAAAGAGGAACTGTGTCTACCAGTCTGGTTTGTACACAAGTCTATGGAGTGTTTCCTTGATCCATGGTTGATGTGGGAGAGCCCAGCAAAGTTCCTCCATGGTCCCTGCCCTGGCTTCCCTGGATGATGGACTGTAACTGTAAAATGAATAAACCCTTTCCTCCCAAACTTGGTTTTGGTTAGTGCTCTACCACAGCAACGAAACTTAACTAATACACTAAGCATAAATGAGTTCATGACCCACAACTGAACTCTTCAGTATATACATTAACAGTTGGAACCAGGGACTCTTAACAATCATGTTTACCTATGTTCACATCAACATTATTTACAATAGAAAGAAAATATAAACAACCCAACTAACCCCGTAGACAGGTGAGACAGTAATCAAAACAGTGCATACAAACCGTGGTATATTACTCAGTCATAAAAAGGAATGGAATTCTGATCCACGCTATAACCCAGAAAGCAAAGTGAACCAGGCAGAAAAGGACAAGTAGGTGCTGGAGAGATTGCTCAGAGGTTAAGACCCGTATAATGGTTCACAACCATCCGTAACTCCAGTTCTGGACTATCTAACACCCTTTGACTCTCCTGGGCACCAGGCACACATGTGGTGCAAATACACACAGGCGAAACACTCATATACACGAAATAAAATAAATGAATCTTTTTTAAAAAAAAAAGGACATTAGAATTGTATTACATGAAATATATAGAATATACAAATTCATAGAGACAGAAAGATCAGAAGTTATCTCAAGATGGAGAAGAAAGGAATATAGAGCAATGATTTCCTAAGTACAAAGTTTCTGTTTTGTGTGATGGAAAAGCCCCACAAACGGATAGCTGTATCAGGACATAATATCATGAATGTAATTAATCAATACAATTAATGTAACTAATGAATATCATCAATACAGTTATTGAATGAAAACTATGAATGTAATCAATGAATATCACAAATGCAATTAATGAATATCATGAGTGTAGTTAATGAATATCATGAGTGTAATTAATATCTTGAATGTAATTCATGCCACTGAATTGTGAACTTAAAAATGGTTATAGCCGGGCGGTGGTGGCACACGCCTTTAATCCCAGCACTCGGAAGCAGAGGTAGGCGGATCTCTGTGAATTCAAGGCCAGCCTGGTTGCCAAAGCGAGTTCCAGGAAAGGCGCAAAGCTACACAGAGAAACCCTGTCTCGGAAAAAAAATAAATAAATAAAAATAAAATAAAATAAAAATGGTTACAATGGCAAATATTGTGTTCATTTTTTTAAAAAAAAAGAAGAAGAAAAGCTACATACAGAATCACAGCCTCTAACAGACACAGACCTACAACAAGGCTCCACACAAAGATAATAGTGGGAACCAACGGGAACTTTGTAACAAATTCTTCCTGGGGAAGTGAACCCCAGGCCAAATCTGGCACATCCCTCGGGCCTTAGCAGGGCATGACAAATGGCTCCTTGGTCTGGCGCCATACTTACTGGATGCTTCAGAGCGCAGAGTTCATACAGAATGCATCCCAAGGACCAGATGTCACTAGAAGCATGAAGAGACGGCATAGCAACAACTCTGTTAGGTGTTACCAAGGCGATACAAGCATTTTCCTCTTATTTTTATTATACTTAATTTATTTTTGTAGCTTAGTGTTCTGTAGTGTATGTGTACCACATTTTCATTATCCAGTCAACTATTGAAGGACCTTTAGGTTGTCTGCATTTCCTAGCTACTGTGAATAGAGCAGCAATGAACATGGCTGAGCATCTGTAGAGCAGGATTTCTAGTCCCTGGGACATAAGTCAAGGAGTGGTGTAGCTGGATCACGTGGTAGATTTATTTTATTTTCTTCTATAAGTTTCAGGTCTCACACTTAGGTCTTTGATCCATTTGAGTTAGTTATGTACAAGGTGATAGATATGGGTCTGATTTCATTCTTTTGCATGTGGACAGCCAGGTTTCCCAGGCATCAGTTGTTGAAGATGATATCTTTTCTCCAGTGTGTGTTTTTGGCATCCTTGTCAAATATGAAATAGCTGAAGTTATGTGTACTCATGTTTAGGTTTTCAATTTTGTCCCACATGTTTGTGCCAGTACTGTATTGTTTTTGTTATTCTAATGTGGCTTAAGATCTGGAATTGTAATCCTTCTAACATTCTTTTTGTTCAGAATTGTTTTGGGTGTCTGGGGTCTTTTGTGATTCCCTCTGAATTTTAAGATAGTTTTTTTTTCTATTTCTGTAAAGAATGAGATAGGGATTTTAATTTGGATTGCATTGAATCTGTAAATAACTTTTGGCAAAACAATTTTTTACAATATTAGTTCTACCAATCTATGAACATGGTATGTCTTTCCATTTTTCTGGTGTCTTTATCTCTTCAGAGGTTTAAAAAAGTTTTTATTGCTTTAATCCCAGCACTTGGGAGATAGAGCCAAGTGGATCTCTGTAAGTTCGAGGCCAACCTTCGAGGCCAATCTGGTCTACAGAGAGAGTTCCAGGACAGGCACCAAAACAACACAGAGAAGCCCTGTCTCGAAAAACCAAAATAAAAAAAAAAAGTTTTCACTGTAGAGGTCCTTCGCTTCCTTTATTAGGAAGCACCATGCATCTGCACCAGATTCCAGCTTCAGTCTGCAAGCTAGAGACCCCCCCATCAAATGGCCAGCCTTGTCCAAAGAAAGATACTACTCACCTCTTATTGTTATAAGGCAGGTTTTCCCAAATTTCTGGCGGCACATAATAAGGTGTTCCCACGTATGTACAGGCAAAGGCCATGGGACTGAAACCACAGAAAGGCAATGATTCCGAAGCTCTTCTGAAAAGGACTGTTCCCATCTCTGTCGCTGAATGGGACAGATACATACCTGGAGAGAAGATGGGCAGAGCCAAAATCCCCTAGTTTCACTTTTCCACTTTGGGTGAGGAAGACATTCTGCATTGAAAAAGAACATGGATTAAATCTTGATCGTCCCAGCATAAGGCAGGGGTCTCCCGAGCAGCTTTCAAAGCCTGCTGATAGTGGAGATAAGGGTAGAAATACTGACAGCTGAGAGAACGAAAAACTAGCAAGGTCCCCTGTTAAAAGAGCTGCACATTCCCCTGCCTGGGGATTCGGGGTGACTGCTCTGAAGTCTAACATGCACATGTCAGGTGGCATCAGATCTCATCAGTAGGAGCCTATGCTGGTGACTTGGTGGCTGGGGCAGGTGTTGCCCACTTCCTCCCTGGGAACACACGCATTTATCTGGTGGACATTAAAAGGGCTACATTCACATAGACTCCAAAAGAGATTTTAACTCCTTTTTCACATATAATATTTTATTTGGTTAGTATAAATTCTAGGTCAAAGGGTGTAAAGTTCTACTTAGGATAAGTAAATCTGTAAGATCTACCGCCAGGCATGGTGGTGCACACCTTTAATCCCAGCAACTGGGAGGCAGAGGCAAGTAAGTGGATCTCTGTGAGTTCGAAGTCAGCATGATGTACAAAGTGAGTTCCAGCTTTGTTACATAGAGAAACCCTATCTCAAAATACCAAAACTACGGCAAGGCTGACATGGTAACACACATCTTCAATGGGAGGCAGGAGGTGAATCTCTTTAAGTTAGAGGCCAGTCTGATCTACATAGTGAGTTCTAGGACAGCAGGACTATATAGTGAGACCCTGTCTTAAAGCAAACAAACAAAAAAAATCTATTGTACATGGTGGTAACCATGGTTAATATGCAACTTTATTATTATTATCATTATTTATTATTATTATTATTATTATTATTAATTATTATTATTATTATTTATTGAGACAGGGCTTCTCTGTGTAGCCTTGGCTGTCCTGGAACTCACTCTGTAAACCAGGCTGGCCTCAAACTCACAGAGATCCAACTACCTCTGCCTCTAGAGAGCTGGGATTAAAAGCATGCCCCCTCCCCCAACTGCCTGGCAATATATGATATTCTTGAGAATTACTAAAAGAGTAGATTTTATTTATTTTTATGTGGTAGTGATTTGACTCAGGAGTCTGTGCTGGCCTCAAACCAGAAATCCTCCTGCCTTGGCCTCCCAGGGGCTGGGATCACAGGCAGATACCACCATGTCTGGTTGAAAAGTAGGTATTAAATGTTCAGAAGGGGAGGGGGCTGGAGGGATGGCTCAGTGGTTAAGAGCACTTTTTGCTCTTCCAGAGAACCTGGGTTTGGTTCCCAGGACACATATCAGGTGGTTCACAACCATCTGTAACTCCAGCTCCAGGGACTCTAAAGCCCAGGCCTTCTTGGACATCTATACTTTCTCACGCATGGTACACATGTATACACACATGGTACACATGTATACACACATGCACACACCCACATCCCCCCCCACACACTTAAAATAATAAAAATAAATCTAAAAAAGTAAAGAAGATTATAGACACATCAATTAACATTTCTTAATCATGTTACAATGTGCATTCTTGTATGTATATTAAAACACATATTGTGTACTATAAATATATAAAATTGTATCAATTTTACTTCTATAAGGTAAGGGTATTTTGTGTTTTCTTTTGTTCTTTTTGAGACAGGGTTTCTCTGTGTAGCCATGACTATCTTGGAACTCACTCTGTAGACTGGCTTCAAACTCAGAGATCCACCTGCCTCTGCCTCCTGAGTACTGGGATTAAAGGCTACAACACCTGGTTAAATTTTTTTAATTAAAAGAGTAAAAATAAAAAGTATTAGATTGGCAAAATTTTCTAAACTAAACTAAATAGAATGTCCCAAAAAGAAATAACAATAGGGAAAAAAGACAATGAAATTGTTTTCTTTTTTCCCCAGACCCCAAAATGCCTGTACTCACTTTGGACTTGATATCTCTGTGTAACACACGTTTCTTGTGAATGTGATTTACTCCGAGACAAATTTGTATAAACCAGTTAAGTATCTGTAAGAAAAAAGTATACATAGGATTTAGGGGGAAGAATTGGAGGTAATTATGATAAAAAATACACTGTATAAAGGTCTAAAAGAATTAATAAAAATGCAATATTAGCTGATGTCAATTCAAATTCTGAGGAATCACCTCTAGGCCTTATTTTACCAGGATTTTAAAAGTGAATTCTTTTTTTTTTTAATTTTTAAATGTTTTATTAGCATATATTAATTGTTCATAACGGATTTCATTGTGACAGTTTGTACATATACACAGTATGTTCCAATCACACCTGTCTCCCTGTGACCCTCACCTGTCTCCCTCCTACCTCCATTAAATCCTCTTCCCTTCCCAACTTCCCTCTTCGTACTTTCCTGTTTTTGTTTTATTCTGTTTTGGGTTTTGAAGTGATCCAATAGTTTCCATTAGGGGTGTTTCAGGAGCATGGGCACATTGCCAGTAAATACATCACTGAAGAAAGTCTTTCCTTCCTCTATCAGCCAATGACTACATATAATGAGAAGAGAGGGCCCCTTGAGCCCCTCAGTTCCCACCCTGTTTTGTTTTGTTTTGGAGACAAAGACTCACTCTTTAGTCCAGGAGAGCCTGGAACTGAATATAAAGCTCACACTGGCCTCAAACTCATAGCAATCCTCCTGGCTCAACCCCCAAAACATTAGAACTACCATACAGCATGTGCTACCATAAACAGAAAAAATAGATTTAACAGTGTCAATTGGAGTAAGATCACTGGTTAAGGACCTTTGAGACTTCTAAAGAAAGAGAGAGAAAAATTGTACACAAAGACCTTCCACTTCCTAGAGACAATTGACATCATATGACTCATTTGGTATGTGATGACATCCTAATACTATGTAACTATTGTTAAAAGTGAATTCTTTTTTTTTGTTTTTGTTTTTTTGTTTTTTTTTGTTTTTGTTTTTTTTTTTGGTTTTTCGAGACAGGGTTTCTCTGTGTAGCTTTGCGCCTTTCCTAGGACTCACTTGGTAGCCCAGGCTGGCCTCGAACTCACAGAGATCCGCCTGCCTCTGCCTCCCGAGTGCTGGGATTAAAGGCATGCGCCACCACTGCCCGGCTAAAAGTGAATTCTTAACTCATAAAAATTATACAGTTCAACTAAAATTCAGTATTGTTTGAAGAAATTCAGAAACCTGATTCCTATGTTTTGTCATCTTATGTATGATCCAGATGTATATTTTAATGAAATTTCTACCATATTTTTCTTCTTCTTTTCAACGGAATATAACTTTCTTTTTTTGTGTGTCTATCTGGAAGGTGAGGAAGAGAGTCTGTGTCCCAGAGTGGCCTCAGACTTGCTATGTAGTCAAGGAAGGCTTTGAACTTCTGAACCTTTTGCCTCTGCCTCCCAAATACTGGGATTACAGGCATGCATCACCAAACCCAGTTTATATAATTCTGGGGATAGACTCCAGGACTTTGTGAATACTGAGCAAATGCTCTACCACTGAGCTATATGTGAATCTGTAAGTATTACTTATTTAATTTTCTTTTTCTTCTGTTTATTTTTTTTAGACAGATTCTCACTGTGTAACCCAGGAAATCCAATTAAGAAAATGCTCCCATAAGATTAGGCTGTAGGCAAGCCTGTAGAACATTTTCTTAATTATTGATTGATGTGGGAGAGCCTATCCCATTTTGGGTTGGTGGTCCTGGGTTCTGTAAGAAAGCAGGCTGAGCAAGCCATGAGAGGCAAGCCAGTAAGCAGCACCCCTCCATGGCCTCTGCATCAGCTCCCGCATCCAGGTTCCAACCCTGTTTGTGTTCCTGTCCTAACTCCCTCCAATGATATATAAATGTAAGCCAAATAAACCCTTCCTTCCCCAAGTTGCTTTTGGTCACAGTGTTTCATCACAGCAATAGAAACTCTAAGACACGTTGCCTGAGGAAACCAGTAACACTGACCTTGAAAAGAGTAGCTTCTCACTAGGTCAGGTGATTACAGATGGCCATGTTTCAATCTTAATTTATACAAGGCTTATGGGGAAATTTGCTTCCGAACTTAGAAACTACGTAAGTCTGTTTCTTACCGTATCTTCAGGAAGTAACTTTCCTTTTTGCTGTTTAATCTTCTGCATTAGATCCCCACCATCACAATACTCCATCACGATGTACAGATGCCCTTCAGCTGAAACACACAGGAGACTCCTTAGGAAAGCCACAGTCGCTAAAACTTAAGTTCAGGTGTGAGCACATCTGGGAGGATTCATATTTACCTTCAAATGCCTCTTTAAAGGCAACAATATTGGGGTGCTTCATTTTCGCCAGCAGAACAGCCTCTTTCCTAGAATTCTGTGTCTCAGAGAAAGACTGAAAAAAAAAACTTTAAATAATTAGAAATTCAATGCTAAATTTTAAAATAGCCTCAAACTAATATTTTGTACAGCTTTATATGAGACGTCAATGCTACCTGCAGGTTTGTAAATCTACTTCAGCTCAAGTTTTCAAACTCTGAAACAAAATATGCAGTGACTTTTTGATTACAGCTTTTTTGTGTGCCCGGGCTGACCAAGCTCGGGCTGTATTGGAGCATAGGTTTTTATTTTCCTTACACATACAGAATGCAAACTAATTTTCCTATGTACTTGGACTGGTGATGTGGCTCAGTGGTAGAGCCCTCCCTCAGCAATGCTCAAGGCCCAGGGTTTGATTCCCCACCACCACCACCACCACCACCAAATCCAAGAACAAACCTGCCTAGGCATCAGCTGATGGATAGCCAGTGTTCTACCGAAAACACCATATAAAGACACTCAAGGAAAAACCAAAGCTTTCATTGCAACTGACTCTAAGCACGCTTCCATTGGTCCCTCGGCCCAGATGAAAAATATGCAAAGATGAACATAAATTAAGTTTCCCAAACTACTCATTAAAAACTTATTCAAGGACGAACTTCTAAATGACTTAGAATCAAAAAGTACTATGGAGCCCAGATGTAGAGCCCAGTACCTGACTACATTTGGCTGATTTTTCACATTGCTGGTATACAAAACTGGAAACTGTTATCACTGAGACCAATCAGTACATTGTGACTACTTCTCTGTTCATTTTACTAGGCTAAGAACCGTAGAGAAGACATCAAGCCTTTGTAAAGCTCATGAATAAACTGATTACATATTTACGGGAGAGTCAATGACACATTAAACAACAAGAACATTCTCTACAAAGGCTGTATGCTCACTTTCAACGTGAGCTGTTCCTGTTAGTTACCTTGAGAAGTCTTACTTCCTTCATGGCAAACTTCTGACCGCTGCTTTCCTGCCGAACCAAGAGGGCCTGGCCGAAGGAGCCTTGGCCAATCACTCGCAGGACCGTGTAGTCGTCCATGCTGGGTATCCACGGCGGGGCTCCACTCCTGCCTTCACTGCTGGATCTCCCAAACTATATTTAAAAAACAGAATCCGTGGGGAATTTCCTTTTAAAATGCAAGGCTAATTCAAAGTAGCTCTAGTCATCTTTTTTTTGTTTGTTTGTTTGTTTTTGTTTTGTTTTGTTTGTTTTTGGTTTTGGTTTTTGTTTTTCGAGACAGGGTTTCTCTGTGTAGCTTTGCGCCTTTCCTGGAACTCACTCGGTAACCCAGGCTGGCCTCAAACTCACAGAGATCCGCCTGCCTCTGCCTCCCGAGTGCTGGGATTAAAAGTGTGTGCCACCACCGCCCGGCTATAGTCATCTTGTTGAAAAGCCATGTTTAAGATTTAATTTGCCAAAATAACGTCTTGTCAATATTCTTTCAGTAATGAAGTTAGGCAGCATAAATGACGTTTTTAAAAAGTTTAAATGTGTAGGTTGAGGCTTTTGGATAGTAAGATAATGTTCTGGTGAATTATCCCCTGTCCTGAAGTTTGGAGAATGAAAAAAAAAAAAAAATAGCAAGATGTATTGTTTTAGCAGTGATTTTTTTTTTTTTTTTTTAAAATCCAATCTAGTTTACAAAGACATGTCTGTCAGGGTCTCACAAGCTGCCATCGTGTAAATTACCAAAAAGTACAACATACGCAAACATAACAAATCACTTCCACAGTGACGACACTCCAGTCATCTGGATAGTAGTCACAGGAAATAGAGGCTTTATGATATATTTTTTTTAAAGTTTCTTGTTTTTGTTGTCTAGGTTATCAATCTGTACTTAAATATCAACCATTTCCCTTCTTTTGCTTCTTCCCTTAAAATTTTGTTGCTGGGTTTTTATCTTTAGGGTAATGAATAGTCTGTCTCCTAACGGTTTTAAAGAACAACACAGTCCTATCTGCATAGCAGAAGAATCCCTTCCGGGTCACAGCGTTAATGGACCGGGTGAAAAAGGCACAAATGGACCAGACCAAAGCCGGGACTCCGACAGCAGAAAAGGTGAGAAAATGATGAAGTGCAGTAGGGTGATGACCATGGGGAAAATAGGGAGGAAAGAAAGAACAATTCATTTATCTTCTATAACAGAGTCATGGGAACAAATAGAGAAGAGGGAGGGCTCTGGTGTGAACTGCAGAATGGTAATACTCAGTTCTCAGAGAGAAAGTGAAGGCCTCAATGTCATGTGTAGAGCCTCTGATTTTTAAGCATGAGAGTGTGGCTGGGGAAGGGGAAACAGGGGAGAAAAGAAAGATATGTCCCATTTTGGACCTACTGAGCAGGAGGTACTTAGGACTCAAAAGGGATATTTAAACACAGTCTGACTTCAAAGTCTCCATACAAAAGCAGCAGGATTTTTAGTACACCTTTGCTGGCACATACACTACACAAGAAGCAATTATGATTATAAGCAGGTGTTAAAGGCTCTGGACTAGATTGGCGGGTGGGGGGGGTAGAAGCTAAATGGAAAGGACTACATTTAGAGGTGATACACTGTTTTCATCACAGGAAAAATGCTGGAATGAATTTACCTGACTTTTCACTGGAATGAATTTACTTGATGGTTCACAAAGCCAAATGGTGTTTTACTTTTTTATTTGTTTAAACCACACACAACAGGTTGTAAACTATAGAGCACAAAAGGTAATGCAAACCCCACGGATCGAATCCTACAGGGGGGCCTGTAAGGTTCCAATCCGTAGCTGGTGAACACCTTTAATATTAGCACTTGGGAGGCAGAGGCAAGATGATGGCCATGGGTTCTAGGCCAGCCAGGGGTACATGGTGAGACACTGTCTCAAAACTAACCCAACAACTACACTGTCTTCCTGGTTGTGGTCCAGTCCATCACAGATTTACCAGGAGACTATAGCAGACTACAGCAATAAACCCTCCCTATAACCAAATCCATGTATTGTTTCCAGAATACACTTAGGCACAAGTCACAGGCCTATGACACTCAGGAGGCAGAAATCATAGGCAGGAGCCACTAAGTCAGAGATCACCCTGTCTACACCGTGAGTTCAAGGCCAGGCAGGGCTACAAATGAGGACCCCGCCCCAACCCCCACCACCACAGCCCAATAAAACTACAAGAAAACAACCAAGTCCTTCACAGCTTAATTGGCCTCCGGTTTCAATTGCTGTTTTCTCGTTTCTGGTGCTTGAGAAATTTAACCTATACGACTGAAAATGACTGATGAGCTTGGAACAAGGCTTTCCTTGGCTGAAACCACATTTGTACTTTTAAATCTCCAAGTGCTTAATATTCAGTACTACACCCATAAACGCAGGCCTGAAAAGACTGGGTGTGGCGAAAGTGGATTGGTTCCTTCCCCTGTTTATCATCAAATACCCCTTTAATAATAAAAATAAATTTTAAAAAAATAGAAAAAAAAAAGCTAAAGTGATTTGCTAGTGCCCAGAAGCGGGGTTAGGGGGTCACTGTCCAGACTGTTTAGGCAGGGATCTCTGGGCACACATCCAGGATTTTCGCTCTTTACTCCATCAAGACCCGCCCGCCGCTGCTCCGCACCATGGGCGGCGCGCATGCGCGCCCCGAGACCCGAGACCCAGGCGCGGAGCCTACCGCGGCGGAGCGCTGTGCACACGTTTCCCGGTCGCCCCGCAGCGGGCGTGCGCCTACCGGTGGCTTAGGACCCCGCCGAGAGGCTCCACCCACCCCTTTCTCCAAGGCTGCTGGCCCCGACCGCTCTCCAAACCCACCTCCCAGCAGCGCACGGCACTCCTCCACCGGGTGCGGGCGTCGGCACTGGGCGGGGCCGGAGGCGGGGCGGGGATGGGGTGGGCGGGGCCAGTGGAGGGGCGGGCCGTGCTTCTTGTTGCAACCAAAAGAAAGAGGTCTGGCCCTCAAGGAGCAGTTTTAAAGCTGTTGCGCCACCTTGCAGTAGAATAGTGCTAACATTTTGAGATGGTGCCACCAGTAACTTGACTTCCTGCTCCAGATTAGGCGGACAGTCCACAAACACAAGTTTCACAAGGACAACACTTCTAGCCTTTACTGTATGACCTTGGAAAAAGTGAAAAGTAGAATAATGCCACCACCCCCAAGAAATCCACCTTCCACTCTGAAATCTGTTTATTTCGTCCCTTACATAGTATAAAGTCATTAGGATTCTAGTTGTACCGGGAAGTGGTGGCACATGCCTGTAATTCCAGCACTCAAGTTTGAGGCAGGAAGATGCAGAATTGGAGGCCAACCTAGTCTAGATCTATATAGCAAGTTCCGGGTAGGCAAGCCAGGGCTATGTTGCAAATGCTCGATTTGGGGATGCAGAATAAAGGAACAAAGGCAGGAGAGTGACCAAACTCTGGCCTCAACAGGTGAAACAATGTTTATTAGCACAGCAAGAGGCATCAACCTTCCCTTGGGGATGGATGCTGTACAAAGGGGAGGGAGCCCGTGAGGACTCTTATAGGAGTGTGTGAGGAGCTTGGGTATGAGGAAATTGATGCAGCTTCGGAGGGTACATGCAGTGTAAGGCCCTCTTGAGAAGTTTATGAGCTCCTTTTGGAACTGCTTGCTCCGGCACAGCAGGCTATCTTGAGAACTGTCTCAAGAAACAGTTTTCTCCCTGAGATAACAGACATGACTGACTGATAACAGTTGAGCAGTGACATCAGGTCAGTATCAGGAGGATGTCTGGTTTTCTGCAGCCAGAGCATTCTGTCAGCAAGACCTAACCCTCCCCCTTCTCCCCTTCCCTACAGATCCCACATGGAACTCATGTTTGTGGAAGAAATTAAAACCACAAGACAGCAGACGGAGACACCTCCAAAATGTTAGGCCGAGGGGACATGACCAGCCAGCCAGACTACAGTCAAATGTACAGCAGGGAAGCAGGGAGGCTGACGCTGTACAAACGTGAGGCAGGATAAAAAGGGAAGAATAGGGAGACTCGGGAAAGGAAAGAGCCCCTCCCTAGAGAGCCTGCTCCAAGTCTCAAACCAGCTGACAGTCAAGAATTCCAGTACAGGCTGGACTTGGTGTGGATGCCTTTAATAATCCCAGCACTCTGGAGGCAGAAGCAGGTGGATCTGGATCTCCTCCAGTTCAAGTCAGCATGCTTTGCAAAGTGAGTTCCAATAAAGGCCTAATCTAAAAAAAGGAATTTTCAGCACTATTAACATTCACCATCAATGTTGCCAACATAGAATATCCATTTTATATAGAGGTGTTTCATATAATAATGTTAAAATAGCAATGGGTCATGCTTAAGGCCTAAATGTATATGACCTCTGTGCTGGCTAGTTTTATGTCAACTTGACACAAGTTACAGTTATCTGAAAAGAGGGAAACTCAATTGAGTAAATGCTTCCATAAGATCCAGCTGTATACAAGCCTCTGTGGCATTTTTGTAATTAGTGATTGATGGGGGAGGGCCCACTGTGGGTGGGACCATCCCTAGGCTGGTGGTCCTGGGTTGTGCAAGAAAGCAGGCTGAGTAAGCAGCACGCTCCCATGGCCTCTGCATCAGCCTGCCTCCTGGTTCCTGCCCTGCTTGAATTCCTGTCCTGACTCCCTTCAATGATGAGCAGTGATATGAAAGCCAAATAACCACTTTCCTCCCTAACTTTGATCATGGTGTTTCATCACAGCAATTTTAACCTTAAGACAACCTTCTGGTGTGGTCTTTTTCCTTTCCCTGAAATTTCCTAGGAATCTCACAGGAACCCTCATTTACAGTATAAAAAAAAAAAATGTCTTAACCCCTGTATGTGACTCATGGTTCTGCCTTATTAGATTACTAACCAACACACCTCTGGAGCCACCCTCTAATCTCATATACCAAGAAGGCTGTCAAGAGTGACTGTCCTCTGGACCAGTGTCCCTTGAGAAAGATCATCCCAGATGAGCTTCCTGATGCCGCCCCCTCCCACAGAGGGGCATAAGGCATGAGACTCTGGATTCTTGTGTTGTGGAATATTAAGATGCATTACATGTTTATGCTGTGGAACATTTCATTATGCAAAGATGTGTTGCATTTTTATGTTGCATTTGTTTAACTCTGTGAAGCTGTGTTACAGTGCCTGTCTAAAACACCTGATTGGTCTAATAAAGAGCTGAATGGCTAATAGCGAGGCAGGAGAAAGGATAGGTGGGGCTGGCAGGCAGAGAGAATAGATAAGCGGAGAAATCTGGGAGGAGAGATCAAGGACTGAGAAAAGGAGGTAAGGTATGACAGGAACCAGCCACCCAACAACACAGCCAGCCATGGAGTAAGAAATAAAAAAAGATATACAGAAATAGAAAAAGGTAAAAGCCCAGAGGCAAAAAGTGGATAGGATAATTTAAGAAAATCTGGCTGGGAACAAGGCAAGCTAAGGCTGGGCATTCAGTAACAAAGAATAACACTCTGTGATTTATTTAGGTCCTGGATGGTGGGCCCCCAAAAGTAAAAACAGCAGCATTCTTGTGCTGGAGTATTGAGCTGCTCCCTACCACCTGGCGACTCTGTACTTAGCCTAGGGAGGGGTTAAGAGAATCTACAGGTCACAGAAGACTACAGAGCAGGGACTTCATCTACATGGCTATGGGGAAGTCTTCAACTCAGCTGGGTAAGTCTTTCCAGAGCTGACTCATTGGAGGAGTGCCCACACATAGTAACCCCTATGTTGTGTAAGGAAGTCCAATAAACTCATTGGTTTCCCAGAGTGAACTTTGGACAGATGGCTCAGCAATTAAGAGCACTTGCTGCTTTTGCAGAGGACCTGGGTTCGGTTCCCAGTACCCACAGGATGGCTACAACCATGGGTAACTCCAGTTCCTGAGATTCTGACAACCTCTTCTGAGCTCTGTGGGCACCAGGCACACAGGTGACATGTATACCTATGTGCAAGCAGAACACAACACATAAGGTTAAATAAATCTATGCAGGTAAGCAAACCAGGAAGGCACCGAGACGAGGGTGCTGACGTAGCGATGACTGGACTAGCACATCTTGGTGTCTATGTTGGAAATCCCTGTGAAGGAAATGAAGTTGGCATCCCTATCATCTGAATGTAGCTGTGTGGCTACCAACTTTTTCTTTTCCATTTGGACACAATGTCTATTTTAGCTTTGTATTGAACTGACCTGGAACTTGTGATTATACTGCCCCAGTCTCCAAAATAACTAAGACTACAGGCAGATCTCACCATTCCATCTTATTTCTGTGGTGCTTGGGGGATGGAACCCAGGGCCGCATGAATGGTAGGCAAGCAGTGTACCACATCCTAGTCCTTAAACACTGTCATTTTATTTCAACTGTGAAAGGTTCTTACTCAGTACACAGCCCAGGGTGGTCTTGAACTTGTAGTAATCCACTTGCCTGGGCCTCTGAAGTACCCGAAACACTTATAATTCTTTTTAAAAATTATTTATTAATTTATGTGTGTTTGTACCACAGCATGCATATGGAGATCAGGGGACAGTCTGCAGGAATTGGTTCTCCCCTCCCACCATGTGAGGTTGTCAAAATTGGCAAGCACATTTACCCATGAAGCCATCTTGCTGGCCCAGGGAGGGTACTTTTTAAAGTGACTGGTATGAATACACAGAAGGCTTCAAAGACAGCAACAACACACAGTATGTCAAACAATTCCTAATAATTCTTACAGTGATGACATGCTACAACATTTTAGATATACTATGTTAAGTATGTTATACAAATTACTTCTTACTCTTCAAAATCATAGCCACTAGAATATTCTTTTATTACTCACATAGCTGTATTGTTTCTATTGTTTCTAATGCTCTGGAAGGTCACAATGGGGAGAGCACCTGAAGAACTGTCAATGAAACCAAGAATGAGCACAGACAGTGTATGAAAGAGTCAGGAGAAATGATGACCTACAAGTCCATTACTGGAATAAGAGGCACTTTATCAGGCAAGTCATAAACAGCATTAAGGAGAGAGGAGAGGGATCCATCTCGGGGTTCCTCAGCTTCAGCACTGTTGACATTTGGGACTCTAATTCTTGACTGAGGCTGTGGTCAGTATCTCTGGCCTCTGCCCACAAGATGACAGCAGTATTCACAACCCCGTTCCCCCATCGTTCTGTTTTTTGAAATAATAGTTTCATTATGAAGACCAGACTAGCCTGGAAACCACAGATCTGCCACCTCTGCAGGGAATTAAATGTGTGAACCATCTACCTTGACAACCAAAAATGTCTTGATTTTGAAAATGCCTGAAGGGAAGGGCAGACCCAGATTCAATTCCCAGCTCCTGCATGGCAACTCACAACCATCTGTTACTCCACTCCCAGGGGTTCCCACACCCTTTTCTGGCTTCTGCAGATACTGTACTCCTGGGGTGCATAGATATATATGCAGGCAAAACACTCATGCACATAAAAATAAATCTCAAAAAAATTAAACAAATACCCTGGGAAAAATGGGAGTGGTACAGACTGCCTGTGGTGGAGAACCAAGTCTGGCTGTACAGATTAAACATCAGAGGATGAGAACCGGGGCTGAGCACATGCCTCATCCATACAGTACATGCTTAGCGTGCATGAAGCTTTCAGTTCCCTGGTATCACCGATTTTTGAATCTTAATTATCCCTAGTAAGCTTGTTTAGAATGCCTGGTTTCCAGCCTGGGGCACTGTTCTGAAGGCTGGTAAGGAGGTAACTAGGGAGCCTGTGAAGGTTACACCTGCCCTAGGTTTACCCAACACTGTGTAAGCAGTACTGTCTATCCTCTGCAGCAGACAGGCCCATTTCCCTACCATGCCTTCCTCAGCATGCTGGACTGTACTCTGAGTCACAATAAACTCTCCTTTGTTTCTGTCAGGTATTTTTGTTTTATTTATTTATTTGTTTGTTTATTTATTTATTTATTTATTATGCATACAGTGTTCTGCCTGTATCCCTGCAGGCCGGAAGAGGGCACCAGGTTTCATTACAGATGGTTGTAAACCATCATGTGGCTGCTGGGAATTGAACTCAGGACCTCTGGAAGAACAGCCAGTGCTCTTAACCTCTGAGCCATCTCTCCAGCCCCTCTGTCAGGTATTTTATAACAAAAAAAGTAAGAAATGTAAATACAAATTTAGCAATGTATTTTGAAGGCAAAGTTTAAATCCAGCTACTGTGGCCAAAGTACTTGTTCTTGCAGTGCTAAGACTGGATCCCTGCAGGGCCTTGCAATGTTAGGAGAGTGCTCTATGGGGACCACATCCTGAGCCCACATAACCTAGTTGTTGAAATAAGCATCATATTGCAGCAGATTGTAGCCCATATTAGGGTCTAAGGTCAGTTCCATCATTAACTAAGTCAATCAATAAATGGAAGGTCACTGGAACACTATACAGATATTTATTATAAACACATTAGGTACAAAGTCACTGTAAAAATATAAATTTATATAGACTACACTTTCTGACTATGCAGCATTAGTGTAAGGAATTAGTAAAGTGAGGAAGCTAAAATTAAATCTTAAAAACAATAAAGCAGCTAAAGAAGTTCACCGTACTGTACTTCGGCACGTGGGCAGCTCCAGACCTGTTAGAGCTGTACGTAACAAATCACCACAGGAGTAAGACAACAGCTCCTTGCTCAGGAGCACTATTTCTCTCCCACTAGGTCGGTCTCAGAGAACATGGGGCACAGTGCTGCATTAGGACGGCAAACAAAAGCATCCTCTCCCAACTCAGACAGCTGTTCCAGGGAAGACACAGAAGGGTCGTGGTCTTTTAACATGTCCGGCAGCTGGAAAGACTTGTCTTGAATGCGTCGGGAACGCCTCACTGGTGTGAGAAACTTCAGCTCTTTAAATGTGGAATTTTTACCGTGTTGTATCTTCTTTTTCATACTGAAAAACACAAAAATATTTCACAAATTCAAAAACATGTTCAAGTGTTTATCTTATACTTTTATTGTTTCTCATAGTGCACTTCTTTCTATGTGGCACCCATGGGACAGACTGTCTTATAGAGAGGGAGAGGTAACACAAGTTCCTAGAAGTGAGCAATTTGTATTATGTGGGCACTCGAGTAGCTGTAAAAGCCTGATTTCTCACTTCCAAGCACTACAGCTATTAAAACACTGATAAATGTAAACCAAAAATGTCTTCAGTTTGAAAATGCTTAAAGGGAAGGATCCAGGTTCAAATCCTAGCCTCACACGACAGGTAGCTTACAGCTATCTAAAGTTATTCCAGTCCCAGGGGAATCCAACACCCTCTTCTGGCTTCCGTGGGTATTACACTCATATAGTGCAAACACTCACATACAAAAAAAAATAAATCTTTAAAATAATGCCTGGGGGGCTGGGCAGTGGTGGTGCTTGCCTTTATCCTAGCACTATGGAGTCAGAGCCAGGCAGATCTCTGTGAGTTCGAGGCCAGCCTATTCTACAGAGCGAGATCCAGACAGACACCAAAACTACACAGAGAAACCCTGTCTAAAAAAAAAAAAAGCCTGGGGAAAGATGAGGGTGGTACAACTGCCTGTGGTGGAAACCAAGTCTAGCTTTTGCAAGTGGCACCATGTAGGAAAAAACAGCCAATACAGTAATTGAAAGGTGAAATGTCCCGACGCCCTTATACTTGGAAATTTGTTTCCTGGTTTTGTTTGAAACAGGGTGGTCGAGACTAGACTTCAGTCCACAGCAGCCTGCCTGCCTCGGTCTCCCCAGTGTTGCAACTACAGACATGAGCCATCATGATCAGGCTCTGGATCTGACCCTTAGCATTAGCATTTTTTTAAACAAAATTACCACTGAAGTGGGAAAACAAATCCCATTCCATTTTAGACATTTACCTTTGTAAGCATGGTGTAGAAGATACATTATACCTAATCAGGCAACCTTCTTCCGATTTTGAATCAGGGGTTATAAAATCGTCGGTTTGATCTTTTGTTTTGCTGTCTTGGTTGTCTTCACAACCTTCAACGTTTCTTTGACACTCAATCTCCTCTCCTGGATTTCCTGGCTCTAGATTGACACTTGTTTCTTCAATTTTGACTTCCTGGGTATGTCCCTTGGTTGCATGAGCCTCCACACTGTTTTCTCCTATAAAAAAATTTGAAGATGTAAACTTAAAATTTCAAAATGACAGAACCAAACTGCATCTCCCAATCATTACTTTTTCTATGTACAGACTGCTGCCAAGGGTTTAACAAATACTTAATATCCTTTGTGCAGATACCAATTTAAGAAGGAAACCATCCCAGTTCTTAAGATTATGCCCCATGAAAGACAGCTGAAGAACAACCATTAAATGAGAGAACATTTTAAGTGAAGTAAGATTAAAGGGTTGTTGGTACCTATAAAAAGGAATGTACTAGCTAGAATAATGTCTACTTGACACAGCCTAGAGTCATTTGGGAAGAGGGAATTTCAATTGAGAAAATACCCACCCAAGATTGCTCTGTGGGCAAGCCTGTGGAGCATTGTCTTATTAATGATTGGTGTGGTTGGGCCCATCCCAAAGAATGTACTTGACAAGACCAAAGATCTTCTTAAAAAAAAAAAAAACACATCGCCAGCCCTAAAGACATCCACTGAATTTTAGAAGCAGGTCAATGGAAGTACATGGAGAAGACCTGACTTTTAAAACGTTAAATAAAATAAAAGGAAAACCAAACCAGTAGATTTTAGCAAAATTACAACTCACCTGAAGGAAAACTTACCCAAATTAACTTTTTCTTGACTCTTCATTGTTAGAATATCTATGACTGTTTGTCGCATCTCTTCAATGGGCTTAAATTTAAAAAATGTTTTTTAACAAAGGAGTTTACATGGTCAAAAATAAGGTTATTTCAATAGAAAATATTAGACACAGTGAAAAATTTTCCAATCTTAAATATTTGTTGTTAAGACTGAAAATGGTTATTTTTTTTCAACTTAATAGAATAAGAAAAGTGAACTTAAAGGATAAGATTTTATCATTAAAAGAAAAAAAATCCTCTAATTTTTAGGTCTTTGATAACTAGTAATGGTTGCTTGATAGGGACAAAATTAATGAGCAGACGGAAAGTTATCCTCTGTTCCGTAGCTGAGTATACAGTCTAAAAGCTCTTTTTAACAAACATATTAAGTCCTAGGTCTATTTTGTCTCACACTATTAAATCCATCTCTGAATATCTTAAGGTTGGTCAACCCACCATATTTCACATGTTCAAATTTCATTATCTGATAGATATTAAAAGCACTTACTGTGTTCCTTAGAGCCACCATGCTTGGTGATACAAGATTAGTTATAAAATGGAAGCCCTGGCTCACAGTCCTAGTTTCAGAATTCAGTCCTAGAATAATCAGTTCTGTTTTCAATTTCTTGACCAGTTTTGGTTCTTGTTTCCCAATGCCTGCTTCAGTATCAGCTCTTTCTCTATTTCTATCTCCAGCCTTGACTCACCTTTCACATCACTACGTCAGCAGCATAATATTATGTAATGTCCCTTCTGGTCCATCATAGGAATCACATAGGAGGTTATTTTGTGCTAAAATATTCTGTCTCATTACATTTATATTTCAGCATATATCTATTTTCTGAAGTCTTATAACCCTTAGTACACAAATGAAAAGTTTTAGAAGGTTGAAAAGCATGCATAATGCAATCCTTGTTAGCCTTCACTGTTTCCTCTGCTCATACTGAATCCTGTGCCTCCATGTTCTACTACTACTGACCTAGACTTCCAGGTCCTTTTGTGGTCTTTAAATACTCATTACTACTATTATAAAATCAATCTTATCAAGTTACACTGTGATGTGCTCCAAAATAACTCTGAATTGTTTACACTGTAAAACTGAAGATCCGTAAATTTTGATCTTACCTGAGCCCCTGCCAGAATGGCCTTCTCATAGATTGAGATAATATTTTCAATAGGACTTGTGATTGGCTCAATACGTACAAGACATATCCAATATTTAACAAGTTTTTTGGCATCTGGAATATTATGAATCAGGTCATTCAATGTGCCTAAAATTTCTTCTTTTGGGCATCCCTAAAATACCAAGAGATAAAATGTGTGAGCTACAAATTATGAATTATGAACAACTAATAAATCTGACTATAATCAAGAACAGTAAGCAATATAAAAAGTTCCTAGTGGGAGCTGGATACACAGCCTAGCAGTCAAGAGCATGTGATGCTCCATCAGAGAACCTGAGTTGGTTCCTGGAGCCCACGTTGGGCAGCTCCCAATTGACTATAAACTCCAGATTCAGGGACCCGACACTTTCTAGCCTCCACTGGCATCTGCATACATGTGATACACATAAATGAGAGGGCTGGGGAGCCAGACCAGAGCCAGGATAGGTTTCTAATAATAGCCCTGCCAGGACCAGGCCTCAGTTTCAGTTTACTGGATGGAACTGGCTGGAGCTGAGCAAGCAGTTCTCGGGAAGACCACAGCTCAGGGGCAACCAATCAGCAGGCACCCCGAAGCCCCTTCTGCTGGCTCAGC